GCTAAACCTGTTATGCTAATAAGGTATCCTACTTGCTGTACTGTGATAGGACACTAAACCTGTTATGCTAATAAGGTATCCTACTTGCTGTGCTGTGATTGGACCATTACCCCTATATAAGCTTGTGCCTTCCTGTAATAAACCAGTCACTGAACCTGGTCTCCTGTGTCTGAATGCGCTCTGCTGACACAGTCTCCTTACCAGCCCTGGGGTCCGGGACCTGGCAGAAGCAGTGACAACAGAAGGTGGCACCGGGTGAGCAGAAGAGCAGCCTCAGCACTGGGCAGGCAGAAGAGCGGCCTCAGCCCAGCATGAGCAGAGGAGCAGCCTCGACACCCGTGAGAACGAAGAAACGGCACCCATGAGAATGGAGGAGCGGCTGCCGCTGGCGGTGACCACAATGGTCCACTTGGGTTACTCAAAGACAAATGTGGCAAGATTTGTGTCAATCCCAAATCCCCAGAGAAAAAATTGATAGAAAACTAAATTCTGTACTAAGGCATTTCTGGAAGGTTTTAAAACCAGAAGAACAGTTTACAAAGGACATTCAAAGAATAAAAACTGTACAAGGGGTGATTAAGAATCCCCAAAGATTAAATAAGATACATTTCTCTTCTGATAAAGGCTTCACTAGGGATGGAGGCAGTCTTTCCCACCTAGGCCTCCCTCAGCAACCAGGTGTGGTCAATGGAGAGATGACCGGTCAATGGGAAGAGAACAGATATGGCTACAGTCAGGAGGCAGATCCAGAGCCTGCCTGAATCAGGGAACCCACAAGTGCAGGAGGGACAGGAGAAGCCCTCTGCTTCCTTAGCCCAGTGCAGGGTCAGGCAACTGAAGCCAACACCTGTAAGTGTATCAAGAATGAAAGAATACAAAAAGACCCCACATAAAATCCACCAAGTGCAAAATGACTCCAAAGGGATAACTAAAAACAGTAAAGAGCTAACCAAATTAACACCTCGTACCCATGCTATGGTACCTAACAAGGATCTATGGAGAAAACAGTTAATACGAATGGACAAAACCTTTCCATGCTTTGTGAAACCTTGTCTATGAGTGATTTAATATATGTTAACCTTCCTTCAAGTGTTTTACAGATGTGAAATCCATTTGAAAGATACCCAGAGAAGCAAAGGCCAGCTATAGCTGTAAGATTCTTGGGAGTTTTATGGTTAGGTAAAATAAAGACAGAGACTTCCAAACTATACAACTATTAAGAAAATCTACAGTACCAGGGATGGGTTGCCCCCCTATGAGCTGTTGGTCAAAGAGAGATCCTAGAGGTCCTCCAATTCACCAAGGCTATTGCCATTAATGTTGGTTGTACACTAGAAAGGTTGGTAAGGCCATGTTGCTGAAGACACTGCATGTTGTGAGGGAAGAAAAAGAAGAAGAGATGGAATTGAGACTAAGCCATAAAACTCCATTCCACTGGATTGATGCAGATGTTTGGGGAAGAAAGGATCCCCTATAATTCTACTCAATTATGGACCCCACCTACTTCACACTATGGACATGCCAAGCAATACCTGCAAGTGCAATAATGGCTCAACCAACATACATACAACTGAAAATTTTCTGATTGGATAAGGCCTGCTCCTAGGCATGGAACACACATCTGGTGCTGTAGACCAGGCCAACACTTTGTGTTGAGAAAGGCTACAGGCCCTAGTAGAGAAGCCATCACAAGTATACTGCTGTACAAGTATTCATTGCAATGAATACAGTACATCTACTGGGAAATCTTTTAGGCATTTGTATTTACATTCATATTTGTTTAAATGTGTCTACTTCCATTTGTCTTTGTAGTAGAAGAAACATCACTGAGATAGATCAGTGGCTGGCCTAAAGATGACTAATGGGGGGGGCCCAAGAAGCCACTATCTCACCATGATACAAAAGAGATTTCCCTACATCTGTCACCCCCTCCAAGGCTCAGGGACTTTAGCAGAAGATGGATGGGAAGATTGTAAGAGTGGAGGAAAGGGGTGGAGTGTCTTCCAATTGGCTAGTTCCTCCAAGGGTCAGGGCCTGCCACAGAGTGTGGACAACTGGGGAGCTGCTGGGAGCTATCTTGGAACAGAAGCTACAAGCCGTGGGGAAGCACACGAGCCATGGGAACACGCAGCATGCTGCAGCTCAAGGACAGAATGGCCTGACACTTATGGACCCGGGGTGAGATCGCAGGCTCCTGAGGCATGAGAGAATGCTAGTGGTGACTATAGTAGTCATGGTGGGGTCTGATATGGCGGGCTCTGAGCTGCGCCATGAGAGGCACAGGGCTAGGCACTGGGTACTCATTCCTTTTTAAGTTAATAAATGCACATAAATCATATTATATGGTTTGTCTTATCATTCAAGAGACCCAGAGGGAATTTGGGCGACAGCTGGGAAAGAAAAAAAAGGAGTGTGGTCCAGTGTTACTTAGTTTCTGGAATATTGTAGCCATTTGGAATTTCTGACCCAAACCAGTCTATAAATCTTTTCTATGTCTCTCTTTGCCTTGCCACTTCTCTCCTGTGGGTTAGATGCTCCAACACCAAGCTCTACTCCACCCACACTGGTGTGTGAAAGTTAGCTCAGTTTTCAGGTTTCACATTTTAAAAAAATCAGGCTAAGTGATGGAAAAATCACAAATTATTGACATGTATCCTCTAGTAGTGTAACACCTATAGTAATTTATTCAGAAACCATTTTCTTTCAGTGATTTAAATAAGGAATTCCAGAACCTCATGGGTACAGTCTGACAGTTCTCCAGTTTGCTTTTACGAAGTGATTTTATGTGCTATTCTCTGTGACCCTCATTTTCCTACCATAGTCACTGGCATAGCTCTCTTCTATTCCTCCTTCAAACCACAGCCCAAGCATCAGCTTTTCCAGGAAACTTTTCCCATCTTCCCCAGGCTTTGTGGAATGCTTTGCACTTGGGCTCTGACAGTGTTCAGGTGCACTGCTTCCAGAGCTCTTGCTACTTTGTGTAGACTATTTACTGATTAACTTCTGCTAGTCATGAGCTGAACAGCAGACACCACGTTGGTTCACAATCATAGCTCCAACACTGCTGAGTGCATCATCAGCACATCATAAATGTTAGCTAAATGGAAACCAAAACCTTCTACAAAAAAATTCAGCTTCGGTAACCTGATTCAATAGGTCTTAACATAAATGACAGAATGCATTAAATCCAGTGGTGGGGGTGGGGAGGCTATAGGAGGGTGTTGATGGGGAAGGGGATATAAAGACAATTGAGATAGTATGTATGAAATGCACAAAAATTCAATAAAAATATATTTAAAATTTTGGTTTCAAATGTCACTGGAATAACTGCTCTGCATTTTGATCATGAGCTAGTAGGTGCACTGCGAGAAGTCCTGAGAACAGCCTGGTCCAGAAAAGGAACGCAATGCATATTTACAAAGTGGCCACCTTTCAGTGAATACTTTGTACTGCACAGCTCACATTAAGTGAAATAAAAAGCAAGCAACTCAAGAGATAAACCAAGTTCTGTAAGCACAAATTTACTTCTTAAAAAGGTCCAATGAAATGATGTTGTTCTCTTTTCTTTCCTTAAAATATATTATGGTAGCTGGGGGGTGGTAGTACATAACTTTAATACTGGCACTTGCGAGGCAGAGGCAGGTGGATCTCTGTGAGATCAATGCCAGGTTGGTCTATATAGTGAGTTCTAGGCCAGCTAGAACTACAGGGAGACCTGGTTTAAGAAAAATGTATATTATGGTAAAAATAGGTTTTCTTTCTCTCAATCTTGCTAAGGAAGCAGAATCAAGATTAAGTGGACATTAACTGAAATATATGTTTCTTTTGACTAACTTAAATTTTTCACTAACAGTTACAAAACTTTTCTGTTACATCTCAAAACAGAGAACTGGTAAAAGTCATATTTGTGAAATAAATGTTATTTTTTGAACTGAAGGACTAATGTTTATACATAGTAAACCACCTAAAATTATCTACTTATTTCTTTGCCCCTAAAAAGACTGGAAGGATGTCTCTATAGCCAGAGCTGAAATGGACTCATTTGCATGGCACTAACAATGTCTACCACAACTCAGTAAACAGATGGTGATGATGAGAGCTGTGAGAAGGGAAACTTATGAAAGAAAGGAAATCTCTTCTAGGAACTCCCATACAACATGACCAGAAATATCCATGGGCCTTATTTTTCTTTTAGTAACAAAATGAGCTGATATTTTCGAATGAAAAGAATTCATAAAGCTATAATGTGAATTGCCTCATATTGATGTGTAATAAATAAAAACAGACAAATGAATTATCAAAATTCTATTCCCATTCATCGGCGTTAAAATTCCCTAAAGCAAAGGACCTCAGTATCTGGGACTAGGAAGTAGTTAAATTTTGGCTAATAAAAACTTTTCAATGACTTCCATTCCTCATCCTCTGATCTCTAGCACAAGAGTCATGTGCTTCAAGCCTAGTTTACTTCATGCATATTCCATTGATCTTGGGTCCACAGACTTCTCTAAATTTTGATATTCAAAAATCAGAATTTGCTAATGGCCTCCTATTTTTTATATTTCCAGTTATACTGTTAGTTTATAAGATGTCTTATTAGCTATATTGTTAGTTTATAAGGCATCTTATTAGCTATACTGTTAGTTTATATGGCCATCTTATTAGCTATACTGTTAGCTTATAAGCCCATTTTATTAGCTCTTCTAGCCCTAATAGCTAGCATATTTTCAAAACATGATTCCAGATGTATCTAATGTCACATTAAGAAATCCAGAGTTAAATTCAAATGAGATCCTCTTTAAGGCAGAGAAGGCATCACTCTATTCCATTGTTGAGTCTGGAGTTTCTGCACTCTCAGAGTTCACCCGGAATAGCACTGTAACTTACCTTGTATCTGGTTTAAGATTTTCTACTGTGGAGAAAGTTTGATTCGTAATTTGGATGGACTTGTTCTTCCCACTGAATGACCCATTTTCTCTGGATATAACTTCATATTCTGAAAAGTGAAGAAAACAGCAGATGCTTATTTTCATGACCCAGCTGATAATTGTTCGCGAAGCTAATAGCAGGCCAAAGCCACTCCCATAAAGAGGAGGGATGATGATTGCAGTTATACAGACATTATGATCTTTTCTGTTAAAGATTTATATTGTTTTTAACTAAGCAGTTATGGGGGGCAGGTATGTGAACAAGAGTGGCAGTGCCCAGGAAGTCCAGAAAAGGGCCTCATCCTCTGGACCTGGAATTACAGGCAGGTGTTAGCCACTTGACATGGATGCCCAAACCAAACTGAGGTGCTCTGGAAGAGTGGAAAATGCTCTTAACCTTTGATCTATCACTCTAGCCTCAAGATACCATGATCTGATCTTTCAGTAACTGTCAGTCACCAGATGGCAGGGGTTCTCAAATATTGACATTTCTGCTTTCTCTTTATCAGAACAGAGAAAAGCATAGTTAACTGATGAAGACTGATGACCCTCCAGTGGTTGCTTTGGATGTGAGTCTATGATTTGTTATGAACTGCTACTAGGAAAGACCAGCTTGGGGAAAGTACTGTATTAGGGGCAGTGCTTGAGTGGAAGCTGAGTTTCTTGCTTTCTTCTTGTATCGGTGAAGGGTCCTAGTATAAAGTATTGATACAACAAATTGGATCTTAAAACTACATCACCAATAACAGTCAAATAATAAAACACTTTTTTTATTTGGAAATATAGAATTAGTACCTACCTACTAATTCTATCAAATGCTTATTTAAGTTATAGTCCCCTCATAGTTTTCTTTGTATTAAGTAAAAACACAACCTTAAAGTCTGCATAAATTTCACTGAAAGATGGGTTTCTATGGACTTGCAGGATTCACTCATCAACAGAGAAAGACATTTGGAATAAGAGAATCTAACATACAGACTTGTTAACTTGGTTTCCTCTTCTCAACTGGGAATTATGTGAGAAGGTGATGAAGACTAAAAAGAGTGCAAAACTCCAAAGACCTCAACCACTCTACTTAAAATTAATATTTTCCCCAAGGAAGATATTTTTTTTAAAATAAATGCATATTTACATTGTGCTTTGTAAATCTTTCCTTTTTCATATTTTAAAGTGGTTCATCTTAAGTCCATGAACATAAAAATTGCTCCTACAGGGCCAGTGAGATGGATCAGTGGGTAAAAGTGTGCTGCCGAGCCTGACAACCTGAGTTCAATCCTGAGGATTCACATGATGGAAAGAGAAAATGTATTTCCTCAAGTTGTCTTCTAACCTCTACATGCAAACTCTGGAAACAGCTCTGTCTCTCTCTCTCTCTCTCTCTCTCTCTCTCTCTCTCTCTCTCTTATTTCTCTCTCTCTCTCTTTCTCTTTCTCTCTAAATAGATAGATAATAAATAAATGTAATCAGTTTTTAAAAATTGCTCCTTGTAATACTTTTGCAGAGGACTTGAGTTTGATTCCCAGCACCTGTCAGGTGGCTAGCTCCAGCTACAGGGGATCAGATACCTCTGGCCTCCACACTGCACTCACATGCACATACCCACTGCGCTGGATAGCTTCAGTGTCAACTTGACACACCTGGGTTGAGGGACCCTCAACTGAGGCATTTCCTCCATTGAACTGGCCTGTGGCCATCCATGTCTGTGGGATATCTTCTTGATTGTTGTGTGATGTGGGAGGGCCCGGCCCACTGTGGGTGGTGCCATCCCTTGGCAGGTGGGTCTGTATTGCATAAGAAAGCAGGCTGAGCAGGAGTCAGGGGAGCAAGACAATAAATAGCATTCCTCCATGGCCTGTACTCCAGCTCCTGCCCCCAGGTTCTTGCCCTGAGTTCCTACCTTGGGCTCCCGGATGAACTGTGACCCGGGATATGTAAGATAAATAAACCCTTTCCTCCCCAAGTTGGTAGTGGTCAAAGTGTTTTGTCACAGCAATGGAGAAACAAACTAGGACACCCACACACAGACACATACATACATAATTTTAAAAAATAAAAAGTATTTAAAATTTTTCTCAAACAACTGTTCTACTGACAAACATTAGCAATTATATTGTATATTCAAATTACCTGTTTAACTTTTTCCTCAGGATAAACAATGAAAACACTGATAACAATGAAAACGATTACTATTACTACCAGTAAATTAAGGCTCAAATAAGCTCATTATGTATCCAAGTTGTATGTCTAGAATATAACTGTCTTGGGATTCAAATCTATGTTGGTATCCTCTTGGAATATCATACTGCAACACCTTGAAACTATAAATTGTCTAAAGACCTTAGCTATGACTTTTTTTTTTGTATCTGTTCCTATTCAAGTATAAAAGAGACATGTAGAGAGAACTGAATTTAGATGTATTTGCTAGAAGGGAACATGTGCCTCTGACAAAAAGAAAGATTACTGAAAGAAGTCAACTCCAGAAATGAGGGCTGTGGTCCCCGCTCTGTTAGTTTTGTCAGTCCCTTATTGTAGATCCATTCTTGGGATATAAGAATTAATTTCTGTATTATCTGAGCTGCTAGTTTGTAAACAGTTCCATTTGAAATAAAGTGGTATTGAACATACATAACACAAAAAAAGGGAAAACATAGAGCCAGTCATTAGGACAATGGCTTAATGTTTCTATGTGGAATAACATGATGGCTAGGCATGGACTTATTTCTATTTAGGAATGGTGGCAGAAGAGATGTGGTCCTTATCCATGAAAATTTTATTACTGGCCTTGTGAAAGACACCAAACAGCTTATCAACATCTAGCAAGAAAATAGTTATGAAAACAATTAGTTGGATGTATAAAGTATACTTTATTCATGATCTGCTGCAATTAGAAATCTATAAAATTTTAAAATTATTACAGACGAACCAGAGGAAATCATACAATTTTTAAAAGTTAAGCCAGGACTGAAGAGATGGCTCAGCCATTAAGACCATTGGCTGCTCTTGCACAGGACCCAGGTTTGATTCCTAGCACCCACATGGTGGCCTACAGCCATCCATAACTCCAGTTCAGGGATCTGATGCCCTCTTCTGACCTCCATCAGCATTGCATAACATGGGTGCACTTACATGCATGCAGGCACTCATACACACAAAACAAAAATAATAAATAAACAAAGTTAAGTCAGACATTATTCAAGTGAATATGTACTAGACAGTAAGATATATTACTTTATTGCAACTTGATATTCCATGACTTTAGGGCAAATGAAATTTGGTAAATCATTTGGTTTTAGGAAACTATCACAGGAACTCCTTATTAGCAAATCATAAGAAAATTAGATGTTTTAAACAATGTAGATAATACTGATGGGTTGATTGACATTTAAAGATTGTTATGACAGCATTCCCCTGGCATAGCCCCAAGTGAATCAGCAGGACTAAGCAGATTCCTGGGAATACCCAAGGTGATTTGTTCTTTCTCAAAACAAAGTCTGTTTTTTCATGAGAAAGGGAAATTCACAAAATAAGGCAACTCAGCAAAGATAAGCTCTTAAACTGAAGTTACTCCCATCACAAGGCTTTGGCTAGGGAGAAATAATTGTGTTCCCCTTTATCCACAACAGAAAACATTTTCTAGTAGACCCTGATTCTCCTCACCCTCCACTTGGCCCTGCGTACTGCTCCTGTGTACTCCAGACAGCTCTCTCAGTCTGTCCTCTTCCCTGCCCGAGGAGTGTGACATCAGCAATCACACAGACTCGGGCTGCCCAGGCATTCTAGCAATCCAGCCTGTTTGACCCTCTTTGCTACTGAGAATCTAACTATATCAAACAGTAACAAATTCAAAGAATAGCTCAAGTTTCTTATTTTCCACAATCACTTTTAGAGGAACTGAGTGAGTATAGCACAAATTTTCCTGAGATGAGCAGAAAATTGTTCAGGAATTGAATTTTATTAACATTTTCGTTTTCTCCAAAGATACCTCATATACTTGTTAGTCTGCTTGAAAGTTTCTAGGTTTGAAAATTTAGAAGTTGGGTTGGTGAAAAGAAAGCTAGCTTAAAAATTATCAGCAGTGTCAACTCCTAATATATTTTCTGAAATCTTCTTGATAATGGTAAGACTAACTTCATCTTCATACTGTGAAAAGTAGTACTGAAAAGAGTGGGAGAAATGCAGCTTTAAAAGTTCTGCTCAATTAACAAGGAATCCATAACACAGACACTTTCACAATGTGTCAAAAGGACAGCAGAGCTCTGCTCCATAGGTACTTACCTTGTGCCACAGTTTGATCCAGGGTGCCCAGTTCGGAGGCACTGTGTTATCCAAACTTCCCACCATACTAACACACCCTAATGCCAGCCATGATCTTACCAGTGACAGTGTCGTTTAGTGGCTTTTCCCAGTCCAAGATGACAAATGAGGGGCACCCTTCCACGGTAACCACGGTGAGGTTGGTGGGTGGATTCTGTGGTGGACTGGTGACATTCCCTTCTGTGGCTTCCTCTGTAGGGAACCGTTTGACTGAGTCGGTGATTGAACAGGGGCTGTTGTCAGGCTTTGGAATATATCGCACATGAGGCCCTAAGAGTGAGAGAAAGAGAGGACTCTAGCATTTAGTATACAGGAAATTTGTAAAGACGACAGAGTGGAGTGAACTAGAAAATATGAGAATCCATTTGAGTACATCCAGACTCAAATTCTGAGCAAAGGGTTCAAAGTAGTACTGTGGACAACTAAAACATAGAACTCTAAAATCCTGTCTCTGGGGTGTATGATATGGATACTGGTTTTATTTATTTATTAAATAGTTTTACCTTATACTAATGCTAAGGATTAATTTGGTCTCTATGGACATGGTTTCCACCTCATAATCTGTGTAGTGAGTGAAATAAATTCTACATTAAAGTTCTAAACAAAGCCAGACTCAAAGGGATCAAGCAGTTCTGAGTTACTGACTATACCCCAGAACAAAACTCAAAAATATTTAGGAATGAGATAGTCAGCACCCAGCAAAGTAAAATTCACAGAAGAATACTAGTCATAATGAGATTAACAATACTTTGAAACCAATTTAGAATTTCAATAGAAGTTAGAATTTTTAGATTACAACAATTGATAGTTTTAATTCACATGTTCAAAGGAGTAAAGTCATGGCAGATATTAAAAAGGACCCACCCCAAAATTTCTAGAGATGAAAACTGTATGTAAGATGCAAACTACATTAGGTAGAATTAAACACATAAGATATTACAAAGCAAGAGATTGAACTTACATAAATGGCAATAAACTAACCAAAATAGAAAAACGAGTGAATACAGTGAACCTGGGAAGCTTTCAAAAGTTCTCATACTGCAAGTAATTTGAGCCTTTGAAGTAGAAAAGAGGTTCATGGGCACAAAAATATTTTCAGAAATAATGACCCCAAATATCCAAATACATAAAACGATATGCACAAATTCAGAAAGCTCAGGGAAAAAACCCTCTTAAAAAACAAATATGATAAGAACTATGCCAATCATAATCAAGTTTCTCAGAACCAACTAAAAAGAAAGTTAAAGGACACAGAAAAAAATGTCTATAACAATAAAGATAAGGGTTATGGGAGACCTCTCATTCCTCCCATTGGAAAGAATGCAAAAGGAAAAAAACTTCACGTAGAATTCAGTAACCAGTCAAAAGATAGCTTAGAAAAAACAAAAGCAAAAACCTTTCTTTCAAAACCAGCAGGGTCACATTACAGGACTTTAAAAGAAGTCTTTCAAGTATAAAGAAAAATTATACTAGATGGAAACATGGACCCATACAAAGAAAAAAAAACATGAAATAGTAACAATATAGACACACATACACAATCTTCTCTGTCCCTCTAAAATGATAACAATTTTGTGTAATGAACATATCATGTAAAAGGCAACAACGTTTGACAATAATGACCCAAAGCCAGGAGAGAAAGAAGCTATACAACTTGAGATTCTTGTGTGTGAGGCTGCTCATTATTACTAGAATGCAGCGGTTATAAGTGAAAGATGTGCACTGTAAATCCCAACATAACAACTAAAACAACAAAGGGTTACATTGAATGAGACAACAAAACAGGCAAAATGGGGTCATAACATAATCTCAAAGTAAGCTGAAGGAGAGGAAAGAGGAAGCAAAGAAGAGACAGGTTAGAAAGAAAACACAGCAGGACGCACATCTACACTAAATGTATCAGTAATCATTTTAAGATAAGGTTCTATAAACCACAAACAAAATGCAGAGATTGATAAATTAGATAAAAAGTAAGACCCAACCCTATGATGCCTATAAAAAAAATATAAAGAAACTAATGGTTAAAAATAAAAGGCAAAAATTGCAGCAATTAAAAGAAATTTTGGCTGGATACATAAATGTTAACAAATCTAATTTCAGAGCAGAGTTTACCAGAAATAAACAAACAAAAAAAAACCATGCAAAATGAATAGCCAAGGATCAATTAATCAGGAATTTACTACAATCCTAAATAATTTAAATCTGCACCTCAACATACACATTTAAAACATGGAAAGAAAAAGTTGATAGAACTTCAAATAAAAATGAATCTATAACCACAGTGACAAATATTAGAACTCCCACTGACGCGAATACACAGAAAACCAGTAAGGACATAGCGTAAGTGTACAGTGTAACCTGGTAACTTGCCCCAACTGATACAGAACACTAGTTATGGGCTGACACATATCTACTGGAGCACCCTCACAGAGACCATGGATAGATAAAAAGCAACAGCAGCTCCTGCCTCTGCAGAAGAACATGGTTAGTTCTCACTAGAAGCTCAGCTCCAAGATGGTAAATTATTCCAAACTAAGGGAAATAAAATCTCAGTTCTAGATCTTCTATTTTAGTTAATTTTAGGAATATTTGTCATTTCAATTTTAAAATAACATTTATTTTCTACCTTTTGTTATAGAATATGCTTCTTATCAGCCATAGAAATGCCAAGGCTGTTTCATAAAAAGACTTAGATTATCTAATTCTACTAAATCATCTGTTACTACTAACTGCAAATGGATTAATTTATTAATGAGTATTAACTACTTGGTTATAATTTTAAACCATTATTATTATACTCCAAAACACCCTGCAGAAGGATACAATTAAAAGCCTTTTATTTTGGAAAAAAATGTATTATTGTAATAATAGAAAATGAAAACAAACTATAAGCAATTTAGGGAAAAAAATTATCTTTAATCATCTTTATTGCTTTTTTCAATAGGAGTAACCAACAATATTCTGAATTGATTTAAAATCTGCTTCACAAGATGGAGTGCATACCTGATACTGTTATCAGGGCCAAGAATCTGTGACTAAACAGGTCACAGGCGACAAGGGAGAAATTATTACTTATTATCCTGTTAAATGGACATAGTATTGAACTAACTCTTAGTGACTTATTGTTATAACTATAGATTAGTACATCCTCAATTCTCACCAGAGAAGCTTCTTTTTGCAGCTGATGGCAATTAACATAGAGACCCACAACTAGTCAAAGTACAGAGAATAAGAGACTTGGAGGGTTTAGCCCTAAATGGAACATCTATATCACACCATCTCCTTCTAAGGCTCAGAGAGCATTGTGGAAGAGGGGGCAGAAAAATTATAATAACCAGAGGTTGTAGATGAATACAAGGAAATTGTGTTTTCCAGAAAAACAGGCAGTTGCATATACGAACCCGCAGTGCTTATGACTGCATGCACAAGACCTACATAAACCTAAGCCAGAGAAAACCCAGCACATAGGTAGGAAGAGAGCAAGAAACCACATCCCTAGCTGAGGAACTATTGGCAACTGACAGTTACTCGGGGAGATTCCATTTTCTCTAAGGGTATGACTTAGGGTAGGTTGACCAGGCTCTATGGGATGGACACACATGGAGCATTTGGAGAACAAAAATTAGATTAAATAGGTCTTAAAAAATACTAGAGAACATGAAGCAGGGAAGGAGGTAGGAGTGAATCTGAGATTAGATGGGGAGGAGATCTGTATATGATCAAAAACTGTATAAATTCTCAAATAAGGAAAAATACAATAAAAAAGAAAATAGGTAATAAACATCAAATATGTTAAATTATTGTACTGCTATATTATCATTATGTATTAATGTGATTTAAGAGCAAGAGTATTCTTGGCATTTATTGATTGACATTTAATTGGATATTAAAAAATATAATTTTGATAGTGTCCCCCCAAAAGAAAGAGAAAATATGAAGCACATAAAAAAATTTATATTGACTATTCATGTACCACCACGTCCAGCCTTATTCCTTAAATATTTCTAAATAGAAAACATATACAGGAGAAAATGTACGTCTGCAAAAGTTCTACTCAGAAATATGTGAATTCTTCAAACACAGTAAGTTAAAAACTGTTGGTAAAGACACTACATATGAGTTATAGAACAAACAAGGAGATATCAAGCTGGTGGCGACATCAAACCTCCATCTCTACCGACTAGCTTTCATAGTACTAGAAGGTGCTATGCTTGCTACTGGCAGAGGAAGGTAATCATCAGTCTTACTCAGCTGTGAACCCTGTGAGCTACAATAACAGCTGAATGTCTGAGCCCTAAAAGACTCCTAGACAGAGGGAGAGACAGTCACCCCTCGCACCCAATTGGTCAGCTTCAATTGCATGAGGGGGCGGGTCTAAGGACAGACACAAGGAAGCCCGGAGATGGTGGGAAGTTTGGCATCTTGGTGGCATTCTGGCGGTGGCCAATCTGAAATGCTCAGCTGAGATGTAAGGGGAAAAAAAGCCCACATGTGCATGCTTTTGTAAGAAATGCTCTCCTGGGTATCATAAACTCTATAGGAAAACCTGAATACATTGTGTTGGTTTCATTGGTTGGTCTTAAGGACAGCATGGGGACATGGGGAGAAGGTCGCAGCACACCTCACATCTGGGAGCTGAGAGTGCTGGGCCTCCCAGAAAAGAATTTGGCTTTACAGAGTACATACCTGATACTGTTATCAGGGCTAATAACCTGTGCCTACACAGACCATAGGCCAAGGACGAGAACCTACTACTATCATTCTGCTAAACAGACATAGTATAAAATTAACCCATAATGACTTCTTGTTGTACTCACTGATTTATGCATTTCTCAACTCTCACCAGAAAGTTTCTACTTGTAGCAGACGGTGATTAACAGAGAGACTAACAACTGGTCAACATGCAGAAAATAAGAGTTTAACCCTACTCTTAAGATTCAGAGATCACTGGGGAAGAGGGGGCAGAAGACTGAGAGAGAAGAGCCAGAAGTGGTAGATGAACACAAGCAAACTGTGTTGTCTGGACACCACAGAATAGTTGCACAAATGGGCTCACAGTACTTATGAAAGCATGCACAAGACCTGTAATACCCAAGCCAGACAGGGACCCAGCATGGATGGGGGAGGTAGGCAGGAAGTTCCAGTTCAAGCTGAGGTGCAATTGGCAATTAACAGATGCTAAGAGAGGAAAATTTCATTTTTTTTATTGATATGATGCCTGGTAGGATGACCAGACTCCAAGGGATAGATCCATAGCCAAAAACATTTAGGAAATACAGATTATACTTGATAGGTCTTAAAAAAAGGTAAATAATAATAAAGGACATGAAGTTGTGGGGGATAGTTGTAAGGTAGGAGAGAGGAAGGTAGTCTGAAATATGAGCAAAACGTATGAAATTCTAACATGAATAAAAATATTTAAAAATAAAAATCTAAATTATATACTAAAATGGAAAAAGCTTGAACATACCAAAAATGAAATCCAGATAAACTTATACACACACACACACACACACACACACACACACACACACATACACACGAAAAGAGTGTTTGATATACTTAGTCATTAGGAAGACACAAATTAAGACCATAATTTTATACCACTTCACACCTATTAAAAAGGCCAGGTGTGGTGGCGCACACCTTTAGTCCCAGTGCTTGGGAGGCAGAGGCCGGTAGATCTTTGTCAGTTCAAGGCCAGCCTGGTCTACATAGTGAGTTTCAGGACAGCTGGTGCTACAGGGAGACCCTGTCTCAAAAAGACAAAAAAAAAAAAAAAAAAAAGGAAAACACTTTAAAAACAGACTATGCCAAGCATCAGTGAGGAGGTAGAAGAACCAGGGCTCTCATTGATGCTGTCAGAAAAATGTTAAGCAACACAGCCCCTTAGAAAAGCTTCACATTATCTTGTGGAGAATGGGGAACACTCATTCACTGCTGGTGGGAGTATAAACTCATGCAACCCCTATGAAAAACAGTGTGGAAAACTCTTAAAAAACTAAAAATGAACCTACCATATGACCTGGTTATACCACTCCTTGGTGTATACCCAAAGGATTCATCCTATTGCAGAGACACTTATACAACCATATTTGTTGCTGCTCTTTTCACAATAGCTAAGAGATGGAAGCAACCTAAGTGCCCCTTAACTGACAAGTGATTAACCAAAATGTGGTATATTTACACAATGAAGTTCTACTTATCAGTAAAGAAAGATGAAATAATGAAATTTCCAGGTAAATGGATGGATCTAGAAATTGTTATACTAAGTGAAGTAACACAGACTCAGAAAAACAAAAGACGTATGTTCTCCCTCATATGTGGATCCTACCACCAAATCCTTAAAATTGATGGAATCCCACCGAAATGGGCCAACAGCCCACAGAAAACATGATGCAGAAACCTGAAAGTTCAGTGCTTTGCCACAATGAGAGGAAGATCATCTCACACCTATCACCCCCTCCAATGCTCTGGGACTTTTGCAGAATAGATTGGGGAAAGAATTTAACAGGAAGGGGTGCAATGTTACCTGGAAGTGTCCTCTGACCGCTATGCTGGCAAGCTATAGGCACACCTCCTTCTTGCACTTATCAAGGCCTGGGGGGGGAATCAGTTACCCCTCCCAATCAGTCGCCTTAGCTGCATGTGGGAGAGGGGCTAAGGATATACAAGCCAAGAATATCATAAGGCATCTCTCTCGCTATTTTGTGCAGCTGTCCAGAAGTCACAGGATCTATATCTGAATGTGGACTTTCCAGCACAGCCATAAATGGGGGGGGGGTGCCCAATCTTCTGTGAATAAACCCCTACTCTATGTCCTGTTAACAAGCCCAATAAACTAGTTGGGATTTAAAAAAAGAAAGAAAAATAAAAGACTTAATTGGACAAACTCTAAAGCTTCAAGAGCATGATGTCTCTTTATAAGCAATACTGTTATGCAATAAAATATATGTATATTTTGTGGGGAAAAAAAAGAGTTCACTGTTGCGTCAATTGTGGCCTCATGGACAAGACCCATGGCAACTCCATCAGACAAGGGCCCAGAGTTGAGCAAAGGAAATGGGTGGCAGGCCAGCCCTAGCCTGGGAACTGCTTGGGACTGATTACTGCTTGGTGAGGGAGAGTAGACCGTCCTTAGTCCTTAAGATCTTCAGATAGGCTGACTAGACTCCGGTGGATGAACTTGCACTGAAGGACACTTGGTTACAAGTACTTGACCAAATAGGAGTTTGTAGCAGGAGGTCTCCAAAGATGGCTTGGACCCAGGGCCCTGGGATTCAGCAAGAATTCACTTCACTTCTTGGTCCGCAAATAGCCCGCCAAAAGGAGCCCACGCCTCCTTACCCTGCTTGCGGGCCCAGTGACTGCTAACAGACTGTGTGGCGGGGACCAATCAGAATACGATACCCTCACTAAAGGGACTTGGGGGCTGAGAAAAGGGAGATATAAGGTGTGCCTCCTCCTGCATTAAATAAGTCTGCAGCACCTCGCCTAGTGCTTGCTTCTACCCGACTCCCCAGGTCTGTGTGTCATAACCCCGCGCCTCTTATCCCCTAATCCGCAGGGGACTCGATCCAGGTTAGGGTCTTCACAGGTGGCCTGAGGAAAACCCGCAAAAGGAGTTAACATGTATGTTGGAATGCATGAGGGCCAGTGTGTGGGGGTGAGGGGCGTTGGAGAGCATGGATGTGGGAGGGGTGGTCTAGAGTTAATTAAGAACTGTTGTATGAAATGTACAAAAGCTCAATAAAAACCTTAAAACAAAAGAAAACAGTTTCACAGTATCTTATTTTCCAAATCTATGAAAGGAGGCTACTCCCCCAGTTCTTGGTTTGACCTTGACTATGTGTGTGCTTTCTCAATGTATACTGGCACATAGTATATAAAAAGAACCTCGAAATGTGGTGATTTGGATGCCACATCTCTTTTGGATGCTCCTCCCGGTTTACTGCTTGCTCTTCATTCTGGTGATCAGAACTTGTGTATGTGGGGTGGACCTAAGGCTAATCACCAGAAGGCCACCTACACCTGCTACTATATAGTCATGCACAACTGACCCCAGCTGACATGCAGGAATGTGAAAAAAAACAATATTTTAGCAAGCTACAACATTTATACAGTGACACTACCAAAAGAGTCTTACTAAAAATCAAAACTGGGCCGGAGAGATAGCTCAGTGGGTTAAAGCACTGTCTGCTCTTGCAGAGAACCTGACTTTGGTTCCCAGAACTCACATGCCAGCTAACAGCTGTCCCTAACTCCACTTTCAGGGGATCCAATGCCCTCTTCTGGCCTCTGTAGAACTTGCATGCAATGGTGCACTTACATCCATACAGGCAAAACACTCATACACATAAATAAAAATAAATTTTAAAAAATTTAAAGAAATGTCATTTGTGGTTGGAGAGATGGTTCAGTGGTTCAAAGTACAGGCTGGGTTTCCTTTTCTGGCCTCCATGGGCACTGCATGACACAGGTGCACTTCCATATATGCAGATAAAATACTCATACACACAAAATAAAAATAAATAAATAAAAATTTTTAAATCAAATCAAGTCATAGCCAAACATACCTGTGAATCTCGGCTTCCCAAGATGATCAGTTTCTTTTGTTGGGCTTGAGCTAAAGTTGGATGCACTACCTGAGAATGAAAAATAATGGACAATTTTGGTGAACGATAAAGTTTATGTACAGTGAAAAAAGAGTCAAGATGAAATCTAGTCAAAATTCTACCTAGATAAATTACTTTTAGTTTCTTTTCCTTTACTAGCATTCATATACATATAAAATATAGATATGATAATGAAGATAAATTACCTGGATAAATTACTTCTAGTTTGTTTTCCTTTACTATCATATATATATATATGATAGTGAAGATAAATTACCTAAATACATTACTTCTAGTTTTTCTAGAAAAAAACTAGAAGTAATGTATCTAGGTAGAACTTATCTAAGCAGGAAAACAAACTAGTTCCAGCTGACCTGGAACTCACTATGTAGATCAGGCTGGCCTCAATCTCTTAAAGATCCATCTGTCTGTGCTTCCCAAGTGCTGGAATTAAAGTTGTGTGCCACCATGCCTGACTATAATATATTTTTATCCAAAATAAAAGGCCTTTAATTGTGTCCTGCTACAGGGTGTTCTGGGATATAATATTAATGGATTAAAAGTATAACCTAGCAGTTAATACTCGTTAGTAAATTAAGCTATTTGTAGTTAGTAGTAACAGATGATTTATAAGAATTGGATAAACTAGATCATTTTATGAAACAGACTTGGCACTTCTATGTCTGCTAAGGTAAGATATAACAAAAGATGGAAAATAAATGTTATTCTTAAATTTAAATGACAAATATTCCTAAAATGGACTAAAATAGAAGATCTAGAACTAAGATTTTATTTCCCCTAGTTTGGAATAGTTTAGTATATTGGAACTAAGCTTCTAGTGAGAACTAAGATACTAACCAAGTTCTTCTCCAGAGGCAGGAGCTGTTGGTGGCCTTTTATCTATCTCTGGTCTCTCTGAGGGTGCTCCAGTAGATGTGAGTGCTGCTTCCAGGGGTGAGGAAGTTACTCGTCCTGAGGAAATGATTCCTGTAATGCAGAACCAAAGCAAGAAGGTTTTATAGAAGCACTGCCAAGTTTCCCATTTATTTATTCAGTAAATGTTTATTAAGCACGTACCATGTGACTTGGCACTATCAGTCAGGCTTGGAGACCAAACAAGACCTAGTTCTTGATGGAGATAGATGCACGAGCCAAGGATGTGTGAAATAGCACAGATATTGTGAAAGAACTGCATAAGGTCACAGAGGGGACAAGGAGAGGGAGTGGTTATGTCTATGGGGGAGACAGAGGGTGTTGAGTGGAGAGATTCGTGTCTTTACAGAATAAGGGCCAATAAGAGGAGATGTGATTGGTAGGAAGAGATAAGAGCTTTAGTAAATGAATCATGTCAGGAAGCAGGAAAAAGTTTGGTGAGGAAAGAAAAGGCCCTGATACAGCTGAGTGTGGAAGCCCAAGGAAGGACAGATCATGAAAGAACTTTAGATGATTGCTATAGATGATAATTTTAGTAATAGGGACCATGAAAAGATTTCTAGTGGGAAAATAACATGAAAGAATGAGACAATGATGAATGGCTAGCATACAAGTCTGGTGTGACAGAAAATTCAGGAGAGGAAGGCAATTATGTAGGTAAGGGTTGGAGAGCCACAATAGAGGTAGAGGGACTGGATGGAACAGGTCAGATCTGGAAAATGTCAAAGAGATGGAATGGCCTGACTTAGGGATTAACTGGCAGACATAGAAGATGGCTGGACTCCCTAAATGGAAATGAGGTGAAGCTTTGCTTAGAACTGTATCAATCTTTACTGGTTCTTAATTTCACTCATTTACACATTTGGTTATCACTTATCAAATTTCCTCTATTTTCTAAGCACTGGATTTGGTCACAGAGTTCATAAGCTAACAGAGGAAGACATGTATACAAACAAGCATCAAACAACTTGTCCTTTGTTGCAACAGAGGTATATTCTGAACACACTGTATAGTGGCAATGCTAAGACTTCTTTAGGGAGCTCCAAGACAGATGAAGTATGGATGGGTCCAGACCTAGCAGGGTCATTCTATAAGGCAGGGTGGACAACACATACCTAGGCATGGCTGTAAGAATTGGCTTGACTACTCAGATCCCTTCCCAAGTGCCTTAACACTAGCATTGGCATGAAGCTGAGTAGACAGAAGGTTTCAGTGAGATGTTCAGGACTTCAGTTTATAAGATATAATGAGAAGTCAGTGACAGGGTATCATATTTTCCACTGTCCCCAGGGGCTTGGCAATGTACAGCACCTCACACTCCAAAATAATCCACTTGTTGAAGGCTAAGAGCTATGTTATCTCTAGCTTCAAGAATGCAGACATCTAAGAACAAAACTGGACTAGATGCAGGGGAATGGTTTCTTTCACTCCACCCATAGTCAGACTAGTATCCAGTCTTTGGGGCCAACACAAACATGTGTCACACATGCTAGTCGTTTGCCATTATCTAAACTTGCATTCCAAGAAGGGCTGGGTTAGCTAGTAAAATGAAATCATGGCAAGAGAAGGAAGGTGAATTATGGACATACCTGCACTTCCTGGCTTTCCAGTGACATTATTTGGTGGTAAAGGTTTTCTCTGTGGGGGCACAGGTCTAGGTGGCATAGGTGGGCGACGTATTCCTGGGATTGTAGCTAAGAGATATTATAGGTACATAAGAATTTACTATGCAAAAGTTAGTTTGAAATAAACAATCTTTCATACGTATCAGAGTAAAAGCTAACAGATTTTATAGAAAAGTGCATAGGAGTAATTTGTAGTAATAGTATTCTAAATTAATGCTCAAGGATAATGAATCACATAAGTATGTGCAAAACATTTATAATTTTAGGTAAAATATGTGAGTTGAAAGGATGTGTATAGAGAGAATTCAACATCTTTCCTTTCCTATGCAGACTCAAAAAGCAGCATTCTGAACTTCATCATCCTCAATTGCCTTTGATTTGGGGACTACAATTCCTTACATTATTTTACCTTTTATTTAAGCATACATATAATTTCTTCTTTTGTGGGCTTCATCCAGTCACCCAAGTAATTATAATTAAACCTTTGAACTTTTCAAATAATTACATCAAAGTTGCCCTCATGGCAGAAACAGAAATCTGGGGACTGTGGAGAGTGAGGTCAACATGGTTCACCCACTCCAGAGCTCTTGTACAGGGTTGCCAACCCAAGAAATGACATAGTTATCCAACTAGTTTATGTAATAGACAGGGGGAAAAGGTATTTTTTTTTATAGTTTGTGCAATGCAGTAGGCTTTGCACAAAGGTTGGCAAAACCAAGTGTGTCTGGAACAGTCCACCTTAGTCAAAACTTTAAGCTTTATGTTATAGTTTAAAAATGTATCTCTTTCTTTACATTATCTGTTTGTTTTAAAGTCATCAAGAGGGGTCTGGCAAGATGGCTCAGCAGTTGAGAGCACTGACTGTTCTTGCAGAGGACCTGGGTTTGGTTCCCAGCACCAACATGGTGGCTAGCAACTGTTTGTAACTCCAGTTCCAGGGGAATCCGACACCCTCTTCTGACTTCTGTGAGCACTGCATGACATGAATGCACGTAACACATGCAGGCATAACACTTATACACATAAAACAAAAATAATAAATAAAATATTATAAAACAAAATATCAAGAAACATTCTTTACCAAGGAAAATATTACATGGTTTGAAATATTTCAAAGCATAGTAGGGGAAGAGAGAAAGGAAGGAAGGTAAAGAAAGACAGGAGAGAGGCAGGAGAGTCTGTCCACGTGCTTGCTCAGCAATGGAGACATTAACCATGAGAACTGGTCTCACAATATCCTTTTAAAAAGCAAAGATACTTGGAATTGCTGGCCTCATAAATTTTTCTATTATAAATAACATGCTCTCAAAACAGAAATCATTTCAGAAAAAAAGGATGTCATAATAAATCACACTAGATCAAGACTTAAATATATTAAAAACCAGCTAAAGTCCATAGCAACTTTGTACTACTTATCCATTGTGGCGCCTCAGAATATTATAGAAAGTAATCACTAATTAGCACCCCACTGAAGTTTCTAAGTAGTATTTAATTTGTGCACAGAACACTTTGTTTTCCTCAAATGGAATGTTTCTGCAGCAGCATGCATCTACTACTAGCACAGTTCTCACCCACACAGGTCCTGCAGATGTTGTTACACACATGCTAGTGCAGTTACTGTGCAAATTTCAGAGCCTAGCTGGTGTAGGGGACATCTGAATCTTGATCCTCACCTGGCTTTCTTGTAGTATGTGTGTCCACTGACACATTTCTACCAGTACTTGATGGCTTCGGTGCTTGCTTTGTTCCTAGGAAGAGAGGTAATGAGCAGGAATAATTGTATAGTACAAACATGCTGAATGTTCCCTGTCAAGGGCACTTGGTGGAACTGTCAGGGAGCTTGTGCATTTTTGGCAGAGCAGGGACAATGGTGCTTTTTGCTCATTTTCATTGTCTTCTACTGTCTGAATGCACAAAAAATCTTCAAAACCCAGTGTTCACTTGTTCTGTTTCCTTGTAAAGCTGGAACTGGGCTGTGGGTTGTGGTTTTGTCCCAACATTCCACAGCATTCATGCTGTACTGCTTTCCTGGGAGGTACTGCCTCACCCAGGCAGAATTTCACCAAGGGCGAGTGGCCATTTTCTGCCAGTGTTTATGGGTACATTTTGTGGTTAGAAAGATAATTCCTCCAATTCCTCTATCCCCATAAAGAAACCTCAGAAATCCAGTGTGGTTGGGTTTAAACTTAATAAGCTGTCTTAAAAATATCCTTGTCCAAGCATTGTCTAGATTGTTGAGGATTTTTATCTTTAGGATTTCTAATGTAGTCCTGGATTGACCTAGAATCCCAAATTGTTGTTTGGAAGAAAATGAACTGAAAATTACTTTGTGTGATTTTTTTTTGTCTCCTAAATTCCTCAGACATGATGGTTATTATTTGATCATTCACTTAAGTACCTGGGGATAGGTTTTGAGTAGCTTCCTTAGAGTGTAGGAAACCAATCAATGTGTTTCATCCAAGCTTGTTATTACTCTTTTACAGTATAAAATAATCATTCCTGATGTATCTGACCATCTTTATTTAAAAAAGAATAGACATTGTTTTTGAAACTTAATAATTATCACTTCAGAAATAATCAATAATCCTGAAAAAATTCATACTCTGATGAATACTGTAATTTATATTAAAGAAAACATGTTTAATATACTAATCAGTCTATTAACAATGACCACCATGGTGTCTGAATGCCAATAAATTCTGATTTTAGAGCTATGTTCCAGGGAGCATGAGGGACAATATTTAAAGTATAGGCAGATACATTGAACAAATATACAATAGAAGTTTTCCTTGTTAAGAATGAATTACATTTCCATATTAATTTTTAAATCCATTGCTGAAGCTATCACTGAAATCTCAAACCCTTTGTATAACTCATGGGGAATGTTTATACAGAACTATGAATAGAGTGTTGCTTATTTGTGCTAGGGAAAAATGATTCTGTGAGCAATAACTATGTTTTATAACTAGCCACAGAGAGGCATGGCTCAGGCAAATGGCTCAGGCGTCTTCCTGTGCCAGGCTGTCCATGTTACCAGGAGGTCAGGGAAGTGGACATATGAGTGGCTATTCTAGGAATGGCATCTGGGAATAGCAAATACTTCTATTGTGCCACTGATATGACTTGGCTTGGTGAGGTTTGGTTTGCCACTGTTTCTCAAAGGTAAAAACCATAGCTACATAAACACACAAACACTCTAGAAGGGCAGTAGGCTGTGTTTACCTTCAGTAGATCCTCTTCTCATCCCTTCTCCAAATCTTTCTGTCCCTAAAGGACAAAATATTTGGATCTAATACTGTCTAAACACTCTGCATATTTACTGCCTGATCTGAGCTTTACAAGGCTTCTCTGCAGGAGATACCATCCAGGACCCAGAGCTGAGGAAATCCAAGATTAAAGAAGCTGCGCAAGGTCTCATAACTAGAACGTGCAGGGATTCAGAACCACATATTCCCAGCTGCAAAGCCTCTTCCTTACACACTAAGTCCTCCTGTTAGCTCTCCCTCCTCGTCCTCCTCACAATGTTTTTTACTATAGCCCTGGAACAACATACTCCCTTTTTTGTGGGCTAGGGTGCCACCACTATATGAGAGTTACTGGCCTTGGATAGCAAGCATCTGTCATGTAGCCATGACACTAGTGTGTAAAACTCTAAAAATAGCTGCATGCTTTCAGCAGTCCCTTTAGGGCACATGCAGATCCACCAGGCCACAGGATAAATGCCCACTGAGAAAGGGAGTTGGAAATTAAGGGAAAGAAGGAGGAAGGCAGAAGGGACAGAGAGGACCAAGAGGAGAAGTGGAGAGAGAAAGGAGGAGGAGGAATAAATTAGAGGAAACTAGAATTTTTCGGTCTCTTTCTATACAGGTAACAATAAAGGCAGCATGCCATCATGATCCCTAAATGCAAGTAGTCAAGTCTATAGCACATCAACTAGTAACTGGACTTTGCTCAGCCTTTTCAACTGGATAGAAGATGGTAGTATATGATAGCATTGAGAAGGGCCCATGTGAAATGTAGCTGTGGGGTTCAGAGGAGAGAGCTGCAGAAAGGAGATGGAGCGCTAGGCTCTGAACAACCCGTGAACTGCTGTGTCGGAGGGAAGCAGCTGAAGGCCAAAGGCAGCAGAGAGACAGTGGGAGGAGAAAATAAAAAAGAAAGCCAGTTCATATGAAAGATACTATATAAAATGGATCTTCTGGAATTGGCACCGAAACAGACAATCTGGCCCAGGCTGTGACCTGAATTCTTTTTCTCTCAGGCACAATTAATTGACACTACAGGGCAGTTGACTCTGGAAACATAAGACTGGAACGTCAGCATGAGCCCACCATCCATTGCCATGTGGGAGTTCTCCAGAAATCTCCAGATTTTCATAGTTCACCACTTAGCAATTTATTGTTCAAAATGAAGTAATGATTTGGGGTATTTCTAACCATAGCAACAAAAACTTTGCAAACAAACACATCAGTTTCAACTGTATCAGTGGAAATCTATTTTCAGATAAATCAGTGACTACCTCCTGTGAGCAAAAACGGGCGATATTTACAGAGGACTGTTCTCTGTGCCCTTGCCTCCAAATCTTAGCACCTGGCTAAAATGTCAGGGGCAACAAGCCAGTAGCCTGGAAGATTTAGTCACATTCTAGAAAAACACATTCCTCACCCCAAGGAGTCTGTTTTCTCCTTGTGTGGCACACTCCACATGGGGCACTAAGTGTGGTTTCCCCATTAGGATAAAGAAAGAAGAGTCTGAGGCTCAGATGTCTAACAAAGTCTGCCAGATTATGTTTCAAGATAGATTCAGAATTACATTTTGTCTGATATAATGGACCTTCAATCAATGATAGATGAACAGCTAGCTAAACAGTTCAGTAGTTTTCATCTTCAGAGAAAATTAGACTGCTTAGGATAAAGGTCAGCACATTTCTTCTGCAAATGGTCTGCTGCTTGTTTAAATTTCACATCCCAGACTGCTAGAAGTTAAAGGTCTTCAAGAAAATTGTGATGGTACCTGTGAGAGATTATAAACTTGAAAACTATGCAATTACAAAGACCAGTCTACGCATGGAAAGAGTTTTGGAGTTTGGGGAAATAATCACTTTTATCCTTTCCATCTGCAATCCATATTTCATCAGAATTTCTTATGAAGTAAGATTATATATGGCAGCTAATTTAGTAAATTAGGTTTAGAAAAGTGAAATTTTCTTTTTCAATGTTTTTACAAATAATTTTCAAACTAATAAAAAAAATTGACGTATAAATCCAACAAACTTATACAGGATGGATAGCATTTAGTTTTGACACAACTGAAAAGAAATGACTGTGGCTATTACCTGTTCCCACTCCATTTCCACTGGGCATCCTGCTGGGTTTGGGTTTAATAGGTCTTGTAGCTGTCCTGTTCAGAACTATAATAAGGTGGGAATTAAAGAGTTCAGACATTTCCTTATTAGACGTTTGCAGCCAAGAAAAACAAAACTTTTCAGAGGATTGAAAGCCATTTAACTAGGCAATAAGTAATGGTGACTTACCAAAAAATATGGTTCAGTATAGAGAAAGCACATTCTGATATGAAAATCATAGACTTTAAAGTGAGAATGGAGACATGTCTTTACTGAGATGGTTACTGGGCTCTAATATTTGTCTTGAACAAGTAGCTAGCAAGGGAATTTATAATTCTAAGTGGAAAATATCTTGCCTCACTTCATGTGTATGTATTAGATACATTCCAAAATAGAATTGAAGAAAAATCAGGATTACATATGTCTAATGAAAAAAACAAGACCCAAAATATATTTCCTGTCAGGGCCTCAATTCAGAAGTTAGTAGTCCTTTCATAGGAGTCTGTAGATACTGTTTCTTTATAATAATTATTGCATACATCCACTACTGAACACTGAGTCATGCAAAAACAGTTTAAACCTCTCTCCTACTCTGTAGAAAACCACAGTGCTGAGTGTGCTTACATGCTGGGGCCAGTTTGCTTACCTTTGAATCTCTTGTACATGGTAAGCACTCATCCATTATCCATTGTATTATTATTTTTATTTTATAGAAATGTTTAATCAGTCACACATTAGGCTCTTCCCAACTATTGTAACAAAGTCACATGCAAACATATTTGCTTATAAATTATTTTTGTGCCTAATTACCTTTAGGAGTTAGAGAATACAGCCAAAATGTGGGCTCTCTATATTCCAAAGAATATAAAAAGTTGTCTCCTTTCTCTTACATATCTGGCTATACATTCACAAAGAACCTTCTTTGGGAGAGCTTTTACCATTAAGTGCTTTAAGAACACTTCTTTGAATCAGTATAAAAGGATAGGAAACACCAGAGACTTTAGTCTGGTTCTAAAACGCTTGAGCTTTAGCATGAAAACAATTTGCGCAAACCAAATCAACCTTTCTGAGTTGGTCTTTTCTTAAATGAACTCCAAAGATGGTAGTCTAGGATCTTTGGCTAATTTAGTAAGCTTAAAGTATTTCTCAATACAAAACTATAATTTTATTTTTGCTATGTATATGTATGTTTATTCTTTGAAGGGATAAAATAAAACTCTTGTCTCTGAAACTATAAGCCTTTTTCTACCATGACAGCGCCCACCACACACACACCAGGAAGAGAAATAACATAATTATCATAGAGAATTGAAGGTATGTACGATGTATGAACAAAGACATTTAAAACATTTTATATCAGTTAAGCTCCACAGAGGTCTCTGAATCTGAACGTGTGGGTAAAACCTTTGTTGTCATATCACTTCAATGAATTCATCAGTAGCTCTTCAAGTATCCACAGGGATCAGAATTGCTGTATGTCCTTTATCGCAACTTAAGGCAATATCCTGGTTCCTTCCCCTCCTTGACACTTCCACTTTTGTCAAATTTGGCTGTTTCAGTCCACTCTATAACTTTCCCAGCCTTCTGACTGCTTAGGTCATCAAAGAAAGAAAAACTACCTACCAGGTCTGATGTGTGATTTGTCCGGTATCCTGGGTCTCACAGGAGCAGTGTACAATCTGTGTGGTGCTGAAATAGAAGAAACACTTTATATTCAATAACTAATACTTCAAAGCCCGTTCAGTAGAGATTTATTATCTTAGGGAACAACAAAACTGTACATTTCATGGGGAAGTAGAGAAGACATTCTGAAATCTCCAATCACACATTACAGAATTCACGCTAAAGAATATAAAACAAGTAAAAAGACTCGTGAATGAAAAATAAAGACACAACCTAGAATGAGGTAGGTCATTTGTTATGTGATGTATGTTAAGGTTTAGTCATTATTTAGCTCTTTTTCTCAAAAGCATTAATTTTTATCAAAGGTTACTTAACATGAAAAATACATAACCCACATATCCATCTATCCATCCGTGTTACTCACTGGGGAATAACTATGGAACATTATTTTTCCAAAGACATGAAATCTTAAAGGTTAAAAAAGGAAGGAAGGAAAGAAAGAAAGGAAGGAAGGAAGGAAGGAAGGAAGGAAGAAAGAAAGAAAGAAAGAAAGAAAGAAAGAGAAAGAAAGAAAGAAAGAAAATTTGATATGTGATTTAAAAAGTAGCAATATATGGTCTCTGTCAAATTGTCTTTGTTCATGAACTCTGAAATGAATAAACATTAAGTGTCATCTATAATCGCTGTACATAGGAGCGAGAGAAAAATGACACCTGGTGTCCCACCTATCAAGGAACCCTAAGACCAACATGCCACCTCCTTAGTCAATCTATTCCTGCTACACTGCACAGGAAGTACTTCCAATGAAGACTTGCTTAACAAGTAAATGATTGATGGTTGTAAAGAGATGAATTTGGGAGAAGATGCTGAAATATTTTTGTTTCCTAAAATGTTAAAATGTATGCTCATCCTGAAACCTATCAACTGTTCTTTGTACATTGCATCCCACACATTGCTTCCTGTCACCAAGTCTCTTGGAAATGGTTTAGGTATGACCAGAAAAAATTCTTATAAGCTATATGAATGTTTGATCATTTAATGGTTTTGTTCACATCATAAGTGGGTATTTATATATGCATAAATCAGCAATGTCTTGCCTCACAAGCTTTAAAAACACACCCGTGAAATAGCTTACAATGTAGCTCACTTACAAGCTTCCAATGTGAAGAAGACTTTGATGAGCAGGATTTTGTCAGACTGCACACCAACAACAGAGGCAGACAGACATGTCTCAAAACATGAGAAAAAATTAAAATATAGCACAGTATACAATTGTGCTAAGACAATTCATATCGTGATATAAGGTCCTGTGTAAAATTCAATGAACTATAAAACTACTAATAAATGTGGTAGAAGGAATTTTTTAAATCCATAGCGTGATACTGGCATTCCCTTTAAAGTAAGAAAAAGCAAAATAAGGAAAATGCAAACCTAAATATTTTGTCCCTAATTCTGAAATTCATGAAGTATTCCAAAGTTGTAATGCTTCTTCTCATTTGGTAGCACAACCTAAGCTGAGAGAATGTTCTTATTTATCCTATTTATTATAAATATGTGTTTTGCTAAAGAGGCACAGACTGGATTATCAGAATGCTGCCATCTTCTATTAATCAAGACATTAAAGAGATTTGCTAAAAGAGAGGAAAAAAAATGCAAAAGCCAGGGAGGGCTGTGGTTATAACACAGCTGATCTTCCGTCATAGGTGGGTAAAGCCAGCAGAGGGGCTGTAGGAGGCTGTCACTATGCTTCTCAGATCTGTGTATATTTATAAACAAATAAAATGTCAATAAACACAACTTTTTATAAATGTGATTTGGAAAATTAAAAGCTGAAAGCAAACAAAATTTAGAGAGTACTAAGGAACTGTGCTATGCTATACAATCCCAGTCATGTTTGTTTATACAATTGCTCTGCTGACAAAGTACATATTAAAATTAGATTAATTTTATTATTACAACTTCTCTTGTTATTTTTTTATATTTTTTTCTGCTTTTGAGATAGAGACTTACATGTAGTCCAGGCTGCCCTTGAACTCATAATCCTCCTGTCTTTGCCTCCCAAAATGCTGTGATTACAGGTGTGTGTTATCACACCAGGTTCTTCTTATGTCAAGCTTTCTCCATCAATTTTGCCCTCAAACAAGGATTGATGACAGACAAAATACTCACTTGTCTTCCAACACTTTTAAATAGTTTACTTTTGGTTTTGTTGTGTTTTGTTTGCTTTGGACTTTCTACCACTTAATACAGATGAGCAAAGCAAATACATAATTAAAACAGCAACAACAACACTACAGGAGCAGAAATTCGCAGCTTGCTATAAACCAAGTAGGTTAGAAGCCTATAACAAGGAAAAGATTTGGAGATCATAAAGACTAAGAATTGTGTGAGGTGAGTTCATTTTCCCCAAAGGCAGGAAATTACAGAGAAAAAATGACAGTAAAAAAAATCACAGAGAACATACTCTAAATGTCTAATGATGGTCATTATTTTAAAAATGATTTTTTCATTAGTAGTTTCTTTTCTGAACCCACACTATCAATGTGTTTTATTCCAGTGCGGAGGGGATGAGAGAATATTAGCTATCAACATCCAGCAATTAATAGGACATTTAAACCTCAGGCTTCAACTAAAAAACAAATTCTGTGGTTTTCAACTGGCATTCAGGTAACTATTCAGATTTGGCTGATATCCTCCACCTTTAAAATGAAAAAAAAAAAAAAAAAGTCAAGTAGTTCACTGCGGTAGGAAAAAAAAATACCTTCTGAAAACAAAATTTCATTCTTGATTAAAAGAAAAAAGGAAAAATGTCTCTCAAAGATGAGGAAATAGTATTACCCTGAGTTGTCTTTGCCAATTCAGTTGTTCGTGGAATCCTGGTTGTGAAGTGTGCTTGGGTAGGCTGGTTTATTTCTTCTAGGGAGAAACACAGTAAGATGCCTTGCTTTAAATTATCACTGTGAGCATAATGAAAACCAAAAAGACCAAAAAAAAATAATAATTCATACTATTTTCTACCCCATTCAATCATTAAAAGATAATTTAGATTTAAAAATATGTCTTGTAATCATAATAATTCAAAGTTAATGGCACATTTTAATAACTCTTATTTGTTGTATTTGTTGCCTTGTGTTATTATTTTGTTGATTATTGTAAGGACTTTCAAAAACTTTTAGTTTAGAATCATTTTGTTTCATTTTTTGTTATTTGCTATATGGAAGATTAAACCCAGGGAAGGCTAGGCAAGCATCCTACCACGGAGCTATGTCCCAGGGTCATTGCTTTATGACGTTTTGGTGCTTGAATGTGGTCCAAGTATGAAAATACCTTAAATGCCTATATATTTATCTTTCTCTCTTTTCTGCTCTTCAAATTCCATAAATTATATAAATGAGCTGGGAAACAAATATGAAAAGATGTATAGCTATATTGTGTAATACTAAATATACTATTTTCAGTGTATAAAAATGAAAATATATGTTTACTTACATTCATACATATTTCTCTTGGCAAAATAGGTATGGCAATAATTTTACCCTCATATTATCCTGAAATTATTGCATCAAAATGCTATATTAAATTACATTGTTCACTTTGCAATGTTAAAAATCCAAGGAAATAGCGGCTGAAGAGATGGCTCAGTGGTTAAGAGCACTGGCTACTCTTGCAGAGGACCCAGGTTCAGTTAGCACCTACATGGCAGCTAACAACTCCCTATAATTCCAGTTCTAGGGTATCGATGCTCTCTTCTGGCCTCTGCAGGCATTGCATGACATGGTTGCACTTACATAAATGCAGGCAAAACACTTAGACACATACATTAACAATAAACAATTTTTTTAAAGATCCAAGGAAATAGTTGGTTAGAATAACATATTGCCATCTTTTTTTCCTGCCCCAGTTTATTCTCTTGCTTCAGCCTACAGGAAAGGTGTTTGTGATAGCTGACAGGAGATGGTTCTTTCTTCAATAAACCACCACACATTTTAAAAATGGCAGATAGGACTGAAGATATGGCTCAGCAGTTAGGAGCACTGCCTGCTCTCGAAGGACCTGGGTTCAGTTCCTAGAACCCATATGGCAGCCAATGGCCATCCTTAACTCTAGTTCCAGGGGATCACAGACCTTCTTCTGAACCTCTGCAGGTGCTGCATGACATGGGTGCACTTACATGCATACCCGCAATCCACCATGCACATAAAATAAAAATAATCATTTTTAAAATAACATTGGCAGAGTGAAAGCTAGATAATTAATATATCCAATGGTAAATTTTGAAAAGTACTTTTAACATTACCATTTTATGACATCAGAGTCATAGGCTATAATGGATATATAGTAATATAATTATTTTAATTAATCATTAGGGTATATGTGTTCACTCAATTTTAATTTTTTTCCCAGACAGACCTCATTTTAAAATGTATTCAGTTACTTCATTTCAACCGACACACCCACAAAGGATGGGTTTACTTGAAAAGGGTTCATGAAGCGAGGTAAATAAGGCCTCTGAATGATACACAACTCTGTAGAATGCCATAAGAACAGTCCAGAGGAGCCAACAACGCAGCTGGGAACTGTCCTATCCATTTTCAGCCATGACTCAGCAAACGGATTTCCTAAACAGTGCACACATTTGTGTTAAATTCCTGGAAAGCAGGTTCAGCTCAGACCAACTGGCTTTCTTGACTGATCCATCTTCCTTTATACAGGTAACCTATATGATCCATAGGCCTCCTGTATATTTAAAATACTCTCTAGATTATTTAAATACTAATATTATATAAATGCTATGAAAATAGTTGCTGTGTTATATTGCTTAAGGGATAAGGGCAAGAAAAATAGCTGAACAATTTTAGTGCAATTTTTCAAGAAAGTTTTAATTTAATGCTGCTGAAGCCACAAATGTAGAACCCATAGATAGCTGACCATACTTGAAACTTTGCCAAGATGCTTGGAAACTTTCTTATTTATACTGAAAATCATGTAATATAAACATTTGGAAAAATGAGTATACATAATATATATATTACCAGATATACATATATAATCATATATACATATATAACCATATATATTATGATTACTTTAAGAGTAATACTTAAAAGATAAGTCCCTTGTGGAACAAAATTACAAAAATTACCCAGAGTTGTCTGTAGTTCTTCTTGACCGGGATGTGGTGAAATTACAGGTTTAAAAGGGCTGCCTGATGTCTCTAAAGAAGCTGAAAAAAAAGTACTAAATTTGTAAACTTTCAAGTAAAGCCAGCAACAAACCAAAATGGTATTGCAGGAGATTCCTTCATTCAAATCATAAAAGGGAAAATATCTTGTGAACGACAAAGAAGAAAGTTAAAGGTACAGGACTTTCAGGAAAGACAATGGAACGTTAGCACATGGTTCTTCACTGTTTTTCTGCCAGGTGACAGAATAAACGACAGTCTATGGGGTGTGCTGAGACATAGCCCTATTCTGTTAGTTGTAGCTCTTTCTCTCTACCTCCCACCCAAGAGAGTATAAAGGATTACAGACTATTGGGGTAGACTATTTCTGAGTCTACTCAGGTTTAGTTGTACAAGGAAATTGTTACAGTAGTTAAAAACAACAACAACAAAACAAAAAACAAAAAACACCCCTTGAGAGAAATCTCAAAAAGAATAAAAATCTCTGGCCTGGGTGGAAGCTTAATTTACTAGATGTTACAGGGTCAATCACCAAGTCACAATACCACCCCTAGGAGAGCAGGTTCACCTAAGTCATGCTAAAGAGGCAGATTATCTAGTGCTTTAATAAAATGATGAACTTTTCCTGCCAGGAACCTGCCCCCTAATGCAATATTTATGAACAGGGCCACAGATAAGTATCTTTCCCTAAGTCTGTCTGCTTCTCTAAACATAATCTCTCCTTTTCTTTTTATATTTCTTTTCTAAGCGTGCTTTCCCTAATGCTCTAGCATCTTGGGTTTCTTTAGTTTTTCTCCATAGCTCCCTTTCCCTACCATGTGGCTGCTAGTCTACCATGTGTCTGACCTCTGTGCTGGCTCTAAACAAGCATGGCTTTAGGGATTTTTTTCCTTCTCCCCTCGGTTCTCCGAGGGCTCAGGGCAGCTGCTGAGATTCCCAGCTTACCTGCCCTGAGGACTTTTATTTAAATTCTACTCAAATTATCCTAAAGCTTCCATTGGAGTTCATTCTTAAATTTTTTTATGAATGAGACTAAGAATGCTGAAAGGGGAATCCCATTTTCTCCTGTATCAAAATCACTGGCAGTTTTCAGTACTTTTTCCAGTGTTAACTTGAGCACTTTTCAAGCTTTGATATATGTTAATGAGTTGTTACATCACAGGTAAGAACTATTAAACCCACAGGAACTGCTGAGCCGAGGGGAACAAGGAGGGTGGAGTCATGAGGATGAATGAGGTAGATGAGGGCATGCTCCATAATGAGCCTCTTAAACCGTCTCCAGAGCAAAGCCTTCGCAAGAGTCAAGCCGTGGTTTTCTTAGTTGGAAAGAGCAGTATCAGTAACATGAAATGGACTGAGAAGAGGTGACATTTCAGTTATGATCATTTAAGAAAGACCTGCAATGTGATGGTAGCAAAGAAGTAATCATGTTGGTTGGTCAGTATGAGAAAGCATTACCTGTTGTTGTCTTTGGTGGCTCAACTCGAAAGGTGACAGGTTGCAGAACTATGCCAAAAGCAAACCAAAGAAATATATTTATGAAAATTATTGTGTATAAAGTCAAAATAATTTATTTTCTAGATGTATCCATTTAAGACTTGAATATGCTTTAAGAATCACGATAAATATGAGAAAATCCTAGAGTCTACTCAGGGAAGTTAGTTTAAAACTAAGCTCATTCACCATCATTTTTAGGATAGCATGAACAGGTAGCCATTTGTTTTTTATTATAAGTACATCCATAAAACAATGTAAAACAGTTATATTAGTCAATAATTTTTTTTTATAATTTCAACATGATTTCCTATTCAATGAAAACCATTCCAAGGCTACATAAAACTATTTAATTACTATTCCTTCATTTAACCAGGGAAAAGTTTTAACAGGGTTATATGATTAAACTTCCTCCAGGGGAACATACATTTTGTAGTCACATTTTTCTCTTCTATATCATGACCACTAAAATATGTTTCCCTCAGGGGTATTTTACAAATATAACTTCTAAATAGAAAAATGAATTTTTTTTTTTTACCAAGTTCACTGTGAGAGGCCTCAGGGTCTGGTTTATGGGAAAGTAGTTCATCTTTTGGAGCTGAAAGAAAAAGATGATAAAACACTATACACTACAATGGTTATACCTGAGTGAACATACCCTCCAGATATAAAGCCCCTAAGGGGGGAAGGAAGCAAAGCTTTTGAAAGAATGGCCATTCATTCAAAAAAAAAAAAAAAAACTAT